CGACCTGTCCGACGGTTCCAGATCGCCACGTGGCTGCCGGTGCCCCACTCCGGCAAGTCTCTGACGCGACGGTCGTGAACGGCTTTGACATGCTCCTGACAAACGGTGGCAGCTGCTTCCGCCTCGTCGGCTGCGCGTTGCCGCTGCGCAGAAAATGATCGCCGATGTACGGGCAGAGTGACGTGGATAGGTCAGCCTACATCATCTGTGCTGGTGGCAGACCGCTGGGTCAAGGAGTGTCGCGCTGCTGGAGGATGCCCCGTGTCCACCGCTCCGGATCCAGCTGGCCTGTGTGCTGATATCAGCACCGTCTGAGGAGCCTCCTCGCCGTCGCCTCAGCGGCTTCCGACTTACCGTTCCCTTGCCGTTCCCTTGCAGAACTGCTGTTCCCTCCAGAGAGACTATCTCACCTGACCATGTTAAAAAACACGGTGAAAAAGACGATGGTTGTACAACCGGCCTATTGTTTCCGATGCAACATCCGTCCCCTGAGGGTAGGATGTCGTTCTATACAGCAGATGTCGTTCTATACAGCAGATGTCGTTCATGTTTCAGCCGTTTGAACGTCGTGACCGTCCTCAGCCAGTCGCCAACTGGCCTATCCACGTCATTTGGGCAGAACATCGCGCTGGTTATGGGACCAGTGGTCAGTACCACTGACTTTCTACCCCAGCACTTTTTCGCTTTTTTAACCACTTTTCCGGGTAGGAAAAACCCGATTGCGATTTTCTCTGCACGTGCATGCCTTACGACGAGCTCTTGTAGAGTAAAGGCGATCAGGTCCCAGGTCGGCTCTTTCGTGGCTGTTCGTGACCGGTAGACTCGCGTCTAATGTGCTGGGACAGTTATCATGAACTAGCGGCACGGCGGCACCCGTCTCGTGTCACGCCGCGCTCTTGTCCCTGCCAGGCGGCTGCGGTGGTTCGGCAGCTCCCTTCGCGTGAGGGCTCGGAGGTGCGCTGGTGCGTCCGCGGCCCAGCGGCGCGGCGACGTCTTGCACGCGACGGCGTCGGCGACGGCGACGGCTTGCACTGTGAGGCGCACTCAGGTCTCTATCGCTGGAGAGCGCGGCTCCTGTCCGGCGGATCCCGTATCCCCTTTCCGACCCCGTGTCCCCTCGCCACGGGCGTCCCTGTTACGGTCGCCCCTCACCTCAGCAGGTCCGGCTGGTGACGACCGACAGGCCACCGCGAGGTGACTCACCTGCAGGCAGCGGTGCCATTCCTGATTGCACGCTGGGCGGTCAGTCGGGTGTCGGTGCGTCGGTTTGTCGATGCTAGTGCAGGGCTATCGAATACAAGCAAACACCTGGCATGGCAAGCGGTGCCACTTTGTTCTCAATATTGACATGACCCGCGCGTGACGGCTTTTTAGAAGGCAGAGTGAACAGAACAAGCCATCTTAATGGAAGGCGGGCGGACCTACGCGCTAATGGAAAATCTGTCGGCAGCGTGTCGCACTGTATACCACCATTCGGCACTTACTGATATGATGATGCAGATGCGTGTTTAGGAATTTAGTGGCAGTCGCCAGGGACGTCAAATATTGAAGAGAAAAAGTGAGCCAAAGTACGGCACCGTTTGACAAATATTAATAATCAATGTCACAGTGTGGTGTATGGCAGTTGTTTAGGGCGCCTACGCGTCAGGCAAGTGGCAGTTGCGCGGGAGAGTTGGCCTCGGGTGGTGGTGCGTGGCGGGGGCGCGGCGTGTTCGGACGCCTCGGACGTTATATTATTGCTATTGTTGTTATTGCCGAGGTATTGGGCAAATATTCACGGTAACACCTGACGTAGTGTTTGGTCGGGCTGTGAGAGCGGACGACACTACACAGAGTGAGACTGCGCGTGTTTGATAATCGTAGTGCAAGGCTATGGAGTGATGCCCACGCATAGGGCCGGGCCATTTTGTTCAGAAGACTGATTTGCCCTACGCCCGGCAGGCTTTTGGAGCTCGCCGTGCGCTCAGTCTTTATATTTAATGAAAAATTAAATCCTGTCAGTATACCGCACCTGCGTTTGGCGCCTGCCGAGAAAGCTGCGGTGAAAGGGATCTGTTTTAGGAAATCGGGTGGTGCCCTTCAGTTATGTCAAAGTTAAGATAAAAATCCTGTGCGTCAAGTACGGCACCGTTTTCAAGTATTTCTAATCGTAGGCGGAGAGTGAGACCCTACGCGTTTGATAGCGCTAGTGCAGGGCCATCGGACGACATGCAGACATGAGGACAGGCCAGCGTCTGCACTTTTTTCAGCGACTATATGGTCCGTGCATGGAGCCGTATTAAAATGCCAGCGGCCACACGTCGCTTGCATATTTTTCAGCGTAGGACCAATATTGAGTTGTACATATTCGGTAGCTGCTGACAAATCTACGGTTTCGATTCATGGTCAGAATCGACGCGTGATTCACGTTAGTTATGTGACGTTAGTTATGTGACGAGGAACAGATATTCACTGAGCTTTCCGTTCAGGACCTACATATGACCTTTCTTCTGAACTTGCTCTGCTCATGACGTGCTATCAATCAATGAAACGGTCTCTCTCTTCCATTCATTAGCAAATTAACACAACTTCCGTACAACAAGTTGTATAAAAGCCGTACAATACATGAAAGGTGCATTTTTATAGGTGTAAAGGTTAGGTGTAAAGGTTAAAGGTGTATTTTTCTGCCATTTCAAAGACAGCCCATGAAACTGAAGAGAAAAAGTGCATGGAATAGCTGTCAACATATTCAACTAAGCATTAGGTGACGTCCCTGAAGCTCTGATTTCTCTACACTTCTTGCTCATTCATACACAATCTCTCCCGAATCCCACCCCGAGTCCTCAGTCGATTTCTATGGAGCTAACGCTGAGGGAATGCTGGTCAATAATCCCCAGCGATCGGTCCATGGAGGTTGTGCAACAAAGACTGGTTGCAGTTTGGCAGGTGGTACGTGAAACGGTTTTAGAGTGCAGGGCGGTGCATGTGTTGTGTTTGCGTTCGTCCTCGTTTTCACTCGTTCAGAAAGGCAAAGTCCGTCTTCGAAAATCTCTTGTCGTTATTCCCAACACCAGACAATCTCCAATCTCAGCAAATCTCACCATACCCGCACCCTCCTGCCGCCGCCCGCTAACCCTCAGCGGGACGCGCCCCCCCCCCCCCCCCCCGTGCCCGCCGGAACTGCTCAGCTGATTACACAACCCCCTGCCCGCCGGAACTGCTCAGTTAAACCCCGACCGTTACACATGAATAAAATCTGGTCACAACCTGGTATGGCCTATCTGCTTTTTAAAGCTGTTACGCCCCTGAATGAGACGTTGAGAGGCAACACTGAAGACTTCCTGGAGGCCATGGGACCCCAGAGGCTCCAACCGCTATATGTGCCGTAAAACTGTCGAAGAAGGGTGCTGCAGGGTTTAACTCTAAGGCATGGTGAAGAGGGTCGGTGCATGATTTAACTTCCAGGCATGGTGAACAGAGTTAGTGCAGGGTTTAATTCCCTGACATGGTGAAAGTGTAGAAAAAATTGTGAGCGGCACAACCCGCTTAAAATAAAGTTGAAATGTGGCCTGCGTAAGCGTTGATGCATGCTCCTGCTCGTTTTGTTCTTTTTTGAATTCACTGAAAATCGACAAGGGCGGCGTGCCATGCTTACAAAGTGACAAAACTTTTCAAGATGAATGAGAGCGAAAACCACACTTCGCAGCAATATTTAGCGTTTGTGTGCTTCACTGAAGCCTCAAAACTACTTTTGGCGTGCCATTTTAAACGTGTGCACACCATACTGCAGTGTCAAATAATGCTCGGTTATTTAACGGCGTACTCAGCTTGCGCGACCACTTAGCGTCGACACACTTCTCATGACTATCCACGAGGCACAACGAAATAGCGGCAAGCGCAAGGTCCATCACACGTCTTCTCACACACCGTTGCTGACAGGTGCTCTAATCAACCGCGCTCAGCGCCGTCTCCGACGCAACAGCCGAGAAACCAGTGATGCTTTACGTTGTTCATGGCATCTGCTTTCAAAACGCCACGAAACTGAAAAAGTGGCATAAGTATTTAGGCTTTATTTCATCAATGACATCTACCTCACTTTACATGTGTTACTAGAATGTTACTTGCTAGCCGAGTGATATGCTGATATACAAACGGCTCCTGAGAGGTACATTTTCGCAGGCTCTGGATAGGTCACCAACATCGCCACCATTCACATCTCTGACAAAACACGGGTCACGTGCGCAGAGCGCGATGACCATGCACAATGACGTCACACTTCCCTCGGCCGAGCACCCAGAAAGCACAGAAGTGGTACAGAACAGCGAGCTACATCGTGAGCACAAACATATACTCAGGACCCATGGGGGGCGGCAGGGGGGGGGGGGTATCGTGTGGGTCATGGTTCACCTGCCTTTTGCGCGGACTTTGCATTAACGATGGAGTGGCGCATGGACGCGATTTATTTTAAAAGGGGTTCCGACCTACTCACTTCTTGAAGCTTCGCTGCGCCCACGATTACACGCACGCGTAATGACGTCAAACGGACAGATGCACCGCTCTGAAGCCGCAGCCGTAATAGACCGTGCTGATTTAGACTGTGTAGATACCTTAACAGACTGTGCGTCTGGCGTTGTCAGATACACACCCTCATCCGTGACCTGAAAACATCAGAACACCCTGAGGCACCGTCACATGACATCGCAGACTGAAGGACACTCGCACCTTTTGATAGGGCTCCCGTCCATGGACAAATGTGTTATGGGATTGTGGACGACGATTATGTTATCGCTATCGGCTGCTTTATGCCCATCACCATGATGCGTGATGTATATAGCGTGATGTTTGGCCCTATTATCACGATACCAATCGCAGCACCGGAGCCAAATTAAAAGGTTTGTGCGTGTTTTCTTTCCGGAATGGAATGCAGTGATATGTATTTATTTCAGATGTAGATTGAGGACATTGAACAGAAGTCTCGGCCGCAGTGCATGCAATGCGCCTGATACCTGAAATGTCTGTCGCTACCGCTGGCACAACAGCAGGCACTGGTCCGTAGTGGCATGATGGAGAAGACCATCGCGTGCGCCATTGACATGATGAGGCCGAGAAGATAACTCACATCTGGAGCGAGGTCTTTCCGCCGTTTGCAATCAGGACCAAGACCCATCCACCGTCTGGACAGCGAGTCGTTATCTCACCTTGGTGCTGCATATCCTGTGGCCAGTGACGCTCTGGGTGGAGGTTACTCTGACGGGGTCTGCGCTCTGGGTGGAGGTTACTCTAACGGGGTCTGCGCTCTGGGTGGAGGTTACTCTAACGGGGTCTGCGCTCTGGGTGGAGGTTACTCTGACGGGGTCTGCGCTCTGGGTGGAGGTTAATCTGACGGGGTCTGCGCTCTGGGTGGAGGTTGCTCTGACGGGGTCTGCGCTCTGGGTGGAGGTTAATCTGACGGGGTCTGCGCTCTGGGTGGCGGTTACTCTGACTGGGTCTGCGCTCTGGATGGAGGCTGCTCTGATGGGGTCTGCGCTCTGGATGGAGGTTATTCTAACGGGGTCTGCGCTCTGGGTGGAGGTTACTTTGACAGGGTCTGCGCTCTGGATCGATGGTTACTCTGACGGGATCTGCACTGCGATTGTCGGGATCGGAGCGACAACTGAAGCCCTGCAAACGCGCAGGCCACTTATCACGCACAGTCGGCCGTTGCAGTGAGACACAACTCTGGACAGCGTGACGTAACAGGCTGCGGCCATCACGGGCGACAAGGGCGGGACAAAGTCAGCAACAATGTCATGACGGGCGGAAACAATGTCATGACATCTAGCATTCGTACCAGCAAAGATAAAACTGGTCCGTCCCTTGAGAGTCAGCGTGTGACGCTACAGCACATACGCGAGCCTTTCCGCTGTGAACAATCTGCACGTGACCCCAGCAACACTCACGCTGGTTTACCTCGGAGCGGACCGCACAACTTTAGCAGCAGTACGGGCGGGCACCGCCGGACCGCTTCTGCACGTACATGGGCAGTCGAGACCGAGGGCGTCCTGAGTGAGGCCAGGCGGCAGCCGCGGCAGGCTGGCCAACGGCGTTAGGTCCAGCGGCGGCGGCAGCGCCGTTTTGCCGCCGCCCCAGCCACCAGCCGACAGCTCGGGAGAGTGGCCGGCGCCGACGAACCGGGCCGTCGCGACAGCTCCGCTGACGCGACGTGAGCCGTCCGCCGGCGGCGCGGGTCGCGCGCAGTCGCCGCCGGCCAGCACCAGCAGCGGGCGCCAGCGATGCACCGCCATGTGTGTTTTGAGGTTACCTTTGGTGGTGAAGGCGCGGCCGCAGATTCTGCAGCGGAACGGCCGCTCGCCCGTGTGCGTGCGGTAGTGCATCTGCAGCGCCGAGCGACACGAGAGCACGCGCTGGCAGACGACGCACTGGTTCGGCTCGGTGACCGTACTCTCGATCGTGTCCACCAGCTGCTGCAGCTTGGAGGTCTCGGAGGCGTGGGCCACCTCGATCAGCGCCTCCCACGAGTTGTCGGTGATGCCCGGCCGCGGCAGCAGTCTGGTGTACACGGCCGGCTCCCGGGCCGCATCACCGACGGCCGGTCCCGCCAGAGCCGGCCCGAAACAGCGCCGACGGAGTGTGCCTGGCGCTGGGACGGCCGGCTGGTCCAGAGGCTGAGTGGCAGGCAGGTGATGGCTGGCGGCGATTCTGAGGGGCGTGGGAACAGAGTCCCTGGGGAACAGGGGGGCAGATGGCGCTGGGGACCCCGTCGGAGAACAGTCAGACCGACCGCAGGCATCCATTGCTACTCTGGGGTGCGAGCCTTTATGAGAGCTTTCTTTCCTTCGCACATGCTTGTCCGGGTCACGCAGTGAATCACATGCTATCTCCGTGTTCGACCCTGGCCGCGGAGCCGTCTTTCCAGTCCAACAAGTGGACAACCCCACGCCGCCTCTTCTGGGGGTTCTCGCTGCGCCGGTACCAGCCTTTCCCAGCCGCAGCGCTTCGTCGGCTTTTCGACAGCTGGCGTCCCAACGGCGGCTCGCTTGAGGCCAGCGGGCAGCAGTGACACCAGCGCCTCGAGCGGCCGCCCACCGCTGGGCTCCGGCCGGCTGACTCGCGAGAGCTGCTCGGCCGTCGCCTCCTCGTGCAAAGCGCGCGAGTAGAGTGGCGGCGGCCCGACCGGCGGCGGTGGTGGCCCGGTCGGCGGTCCCACCGGCTCCGGCAGCTCACCGAGCCGTGCCAGCAGCGGCGGATGCAGCTGGTCCAGGTGCTCTGGCACCAGCTCGGTGCTCATTGGCACGTGCGGGAAGCGCGCACTGTGACGCTGGAAATGCACCTTGAGGTTGCCCTTGGTGGTGAAACGGTTGCCGCAGATGTTGCACTTGTAGGGTCTCTCGCCGGTATGCGAGCGCACATGTATCTGCAGAGCCGAATCGCTTCCGAAAATCTTACCGCAGTAGTGACAGCGGCGCCTGAAGAGCGGCTCGTGTCGGTGCTCGCTGGTGCCGTGGACCAACGACCTGCCGCGCCGGCGCACGCCGCCCGCCTGGCCGCCCTCCATCAGGCCCCGGCACGCGCTCTCAAGCACCTGCTGAGTGCTCCTCTGGAGAAGCTGCAGCGCATTGACCCCCGGCGTAGGGCCAGCGTCACCTAAAGTGACAAGGCCGAGCCGCGGTGACGACGACACACTGGACGTCGGGGAAGGGAGTGCGGCGGGCGGCTTGGAGGCGGTCGAGATAGCGCGCGGAGAAGAGGGCATCTCGCTTTCGCTCACCACCTCCTGGACCGGTGCCAACGGCTCTGGCGGGCTGGATGGATACGGCGTGGGTGGCGGGGTGCGCTCGCCGCAGTGGACCTCCGCGGCCGCCGCTAGAGTCGCCCCCGTCGCCCCCGATGACTGCAGCTGCGCCCACAGCTGCTGGATCAGCTGCAGCCGCAGACCGCGGTGGTACCGAAGCGTGTGCAGTGCTGACTGCACCAGTGACAGCTCATCTAGCGTTTGAAGCCCGGCTGGACCGCATAGCGCCGCTGCGGCAGTCTGGCGAGACGCAATGAGGCTGTTCGCCTGCAGCGCCTCTGGTGGTAGTCGGTCAGACTTGACGTCCGTTGCAAGGCCACAAGGTGCCGTCCGCCATCGACAGGAGGCCGCGGACGGCGGCGGTATCATGCCATCTGTCTCGGTGAGGCGCCCCATGGCCGGCGACGATGGTCTACGATCCGTGACTGCCTCAGAGGCGCCTGGGCCTGCGGACAAAACGGCGACAGCTTAGACTAAGGCGGACAAAACATCCAGTCATGTCCCCGGTTACCTAAATAACATGTTGTAACGTACCGAGGCACATATTCAGTTACGGCATGGGTATTCCTTCCCTGTTGGGGATGCAAAGGCCTCATGCACTATCGCTGTAGCCTTCAATGATAAGCATCCACGTCATGCCGTTATTTCGAATGAGTGTTTGATCATGTTTTGCTTGGTATAAGTGAAAAGGGCCTTAATTCGCGCCAGACTACGGGGAGGAGACATTTTGCCCCCCCCCCCCTCCCCCCGAAGGTTTTCAATAATAACTTCTGGGCAAGCCAAACTTTGCCTAGCTGTAGGGAATGGAATAGCAGATCCTTGGATGCAAAAACTAAATGTATCTTGCGAGGTCACCAACCAATGGTAGGTCAAAGTCAGGCCGTGGTTGTCAGCGAAAGGCATTTCTAGGACATCGTTCGAAGTAATGCTACAACAGAGTGTTAGATGAAGCCATACATGCCTGAGACAGCTTGTTAGGGAATGAATCAATTTGATTTAGAATTACAACAAATTTCATTAGCGAAGGGTCAGGTATGACGGTCAGGCCGAGGTCAAAACTAACCTGTTGTTTTACGCGAGAGCTTTATTTATGGACTAGTTTCTGGTGCTCATTTCTGAATTATTAACGGCAGGGACCGCAACAGACACGTTCCATAGACTTTTAAAAGTTCGAGCAAGTCACTGACCTAAAATGACCCGGGTCCCTGACGGTCATTTGGATGACAAAATAGGAGCAATCTCGTAGGTATTTGCTCACCCTGGGCTTATGAAGGTCAAACGAGGTCACCGACCTTAATTGAAGACCATTGCCTTCTGCTAAGAACAGATCTCTAACTTCACGGCGGTTGCATGAGGAGGTCTGGGTGCACTTGAGACATCAATCTGGAGGCTGACCCGGTTGGGCCCTATTTGACCCCAAGGTCGTGGCCTCGGAATCCCGAATTTTGGCACAAGTGAGTTCGCGTACAGGTCGACCCACCCTATGAATTGATATATTTAGCTATCTTATATTTTTTAGATCTTAGAGGATTCAAACTGACCCCCATCCAAGCGAAGCGTATTCCACTAGCCAATAAGGCGCGTGTTAAAGGGGATATTCCACATCTGAAGGTATCGAAGTAACCATCAAATATGACGAAGTAAGCTCACTTATAACTATAGGTATGTTGTTGAATGAACGAAGCTGTTTTATACAACAAAATTTCTTTATTTATTACACATGCTCTTTAATGTCATTGTTTGATTGCGTCATGGGAAGCTTGCATTACGCTGAGGTGGCGTACAGTGAGACATAAGTGACGTTTAGCATGGCCGCCTGAAAATACACCACGGGCGTGGTGCAAACATTCAAAAACCACTGCCTGCCACACTACGGGTGGATTACGTCTACGCACAGACACGGAAGTCACCAGCAGATCCGATCGGTCAAATAGATCCGTAAAATCGTCGCCGGCTCTCAAACCGGGAAATGACCGAGCACAGGGGCGTAGTTTTGCAAGATGAGCTGAGAGGAAGGCTGAACAGCAAAAACTGACTCAACCAACCCCTACAAAATTATCAACAAACGAGCTCCTCTCCTAATTTGGGCGTCTCTCTTCTCGAAGTTGTGGGAGATGGAACCCAAGTTGGTGTGGGTATGATGGGACCAAATGGAGATATGCTTCCGAGAGTTTTTAAAAGTAAGCTCGTACCGCTCAAAGATTAGACCGGCAAGCATCTTTTTTTTTACAATTTTGAAGCTGCCCTCTGCACAGACTGACAACAAGGGAAACCTCAAAAGCTTAGATTCGACCTTTACTCTTCCAGTTCCACCACCAGATTCCAGCACCAATTCGTGATTCTGTGTGAAAGCTCGTCCGTTTTTATTGTCAATCTAAAAATTGCGTAGGCGAAACATACACCCGCCCTGCCTTTAAAACTACAAGTTATGTCTCAAACATCCTAAAGATACTTATTTCAAATGCGTCATCATTTCCGTCCGGCCGTTGACCAGCGCTGAGTGTTAGCCGAGGTGTCGGGACGGAGCCGACGCCGCGCGGAGAGCGACTGCAGCGCCTTGCGTGGAGGCTTTCGTTGCTAAGATCTGCGAGCGCACGTGTTCAAAACAGCGTTATACAATGTGGTGCCTGGAGCACAATGCTGTGACACGGCTGCCAGCGTTTCAGATTTGTTCCGTCGGCAAGTCACCGACTGATCGTCAAAGAAGAGCCGCACCAGCGAGTTTTCTGGGGTGCGAGCCTTAATGTCTGTCACATATTGGTCGGAGTTGCACCAAGCTCGAGCGACTGAGATGCACGATTGCGTTAACGTAATACGCACAACTACCAGCATGCTACTTTAACATAACTACCATAACATTACTACCAAATGGATCGCTAACGATATGCAAGGACATAATATTAAAACATGCTTCCCGCTTCTCAAGTGCCAATTCACCCAGATTGCGTGTCTAATAGCCGTCATAATTTGGCAAACTGCGATTACTACTCGCGGAAAGAACTCAATGGAAAGGGGCCGTGAACGAGGATCGGTGCCTCAGGACGAATTAACCACGATGTAGAGCAACTGAAATGCGTCAGTGGATATTGCTCGAAATGTGCGCCTTTCTGCGAGAACTTCGCCGATTAAATCTAATCACCAGAACCGATACTTCATGTGAGCGTTAGGAATGCCGTTTGTCGGGCACGTTGCATGAAAAGTGTGAGCCGTTCTTGGCGCAGTCTTTTCGACATACCTCTTCGAACTTCTTGAAATAGCGCAATACTGCCCTATATAATGAATCATGGTTCAGAACGAGACCGCGGGCCGAGATCGTTACCTATGGTCCACCAATACTCCAGCTTCAGCGGTAGCCTAATCCTGGTCCAGGATCCTGGAAGGGATCCAGGATCCAGTCCAGTCCTGGAAGGCTGCTCATCCTTTTGACGGCCTCTTACGTTGCAAGTCCTGTTGTCTCCAGCAACGCTAACGACCGTCACTTGGAAGACGAGGAGGATGGGAACGGTAGAATCATTTGACATAACTGTGGGATGGTGTGTCCAGCAGGTCACGCCAGCTCGAGAGCAAGCCACAGACTTGCTGGTCTGAAGCCGTCTTTCCGTCTGGTCGGACTTCCCATTACCCTTACTGCGGGTGAGCGTGGGCGGACTCCGCCTCCCATTCCCTTACTCCGGGGGAACGAGGGCGGACTCCGCCTCCCCGGAGATCTTGGAAGCTACTGGGCCAATTAAAACAAACAAACGGTGTTTGACTTTACTCAGTACTGTCTGCATTTCAAGCGTAAATCTGAATAATCTATAATAAGGACAAAAACCGGCAAAAACCGGCATTCCCACCGGTTTATGATATAGACGACACTTCAAGCTAGCTCACGCATTAGCTTGTCCATAAGATGAAAGCGAGATGACAATAAATGTGCCAAAATGGCTTTTGTATCGAGAATATGCAGAGCAAATGCGGTGGTAATTTCCTTCGTTATGAACATGCAGGTACACCCGAACTTTTTGAACGAGCCGAGCGAGGATCCTTTTGGTTCTGGTGAAAAAAAGGGTAGAGCGACGAGTAGATCGTATTATCGTTGCATTGCAGCATGCTGACAATTGGTGATATCATGTTGCCACAATGCTGTTATGCGCGGCAAACCAAGTATGGTGTCCGTCACAGGCACCATGGTGCGCGTTGGTGAATGCACAAAAGTAAAATATAAAACATTCCATTCTGGGCTTTTATGTTCCCCATGATATTGAGGCCAACTTACTCACATCCTTGGAGGTGCCTCTGAGCAATATCGGTGCATCCCTTACTGCAGTTTCACATATGGGATTATACTCCTACGTTGTGCATTCATTTCACCGTACTGTTGGCGTATGTTTATGGCTATCTTCATTTTTGCTCCCATTAGTAAAAGCGCTTTTATCACGGTAAATGTCAACAATTTGTGGTATTGTCTGAAGTGTTCAGTTTTGCATCTATATATATACCAAAAGTATCCCATAGCGGTCGTCCATAAATTACGCCACGCGTGGAGGAAGGGAGGGGCTTTGATAGGGCGTGACGGAAGTGTAACAAGGAAAAGAGGGGTAGGTTTGACGCCTTGTCACTTACAATTACTTAGATTTAGGTGCAAATCATGCTAAAATATTTCAAAACAAAAAGTGTTTTAAAGGCGTATTCTATTGGCTTGGCGTCATGACAAGGAACACACACGTTCTTTCTTTCCTGTTTTAAAATCAACCAGGTGCCAAACGGACGCAACTTTTTGGGACATTACGCTTAACACAACGCAGCGGGGCGGGGTTGGGGGTTGGGGGGGGGGGGGGGGTCCAGCGTAACCAGTGCGCAATCAGGAGAAGGGTGGTTGAATGGAAAACAATGCCCAACGCTATGTATTTCCGGTCCCTCGCATACCTGCAGTCAGAGGCGCACGCAGGGTTTCGCGATTGGAAGGACACAGCTCCAAACTTTGCACGAACACCAAGTTTAGCGCGCCGCCGAAGCACAGAGTGTGATGCATGACATGGAACAGCATCGCGTGCTCTTCATCTAGTCATTTTTACATGTCTACCCCGGATGTTTCGCGGTGATATTTTGTTGCGCGTGTATAATACATGTAAAAATGATAACGGAGGGGCACGTGCCCTTGGAGCTGCTTTGTGCACACGCTCCTACCCGCGTTGACCAACAATAATGCATTCCAATATCAAACTTTTTTTGTTTTCTCCGTTTGGAATATTTCTCTTTTCAAGCCACACTGGAACCAGGTCTGTTGTGATAGACTTCCTGCGTTGCAATAACTATACTTATGTCGTAGCCGGTAGTCAGTCAGTTAGCGGAAGTATGCTTCTCTCGCAGACGCAACACAATGGGTATAATTCCTGGAATAACACTATCTTGGCATGGTCGCCAAATTTCACCAGAGGTCCCTACCAAGCCGGATCTCGGAGCCACCGTGCGCATGTCAGTGCACAAAATATTGAGGATAGACGCAGAAAAGCGATTTAGGAAAAGTCAGAAATTTCAAAGCCACACGCCAAACAGTTTTGG